AGCGCTCTAGCCTGGGCAGCCGCCGCGGGGGTGCCGCGCTGCAGCCGGCTGGGCCGGCGTCCGCGCCCGCCCAGGAAGCAGCCCTGCACGCACTCCCGCCCCCTGCCCCGGGCCCGGGCCCAGTCCCGGAGAGCTGGAGGCCGCCGCTGCCGCCACCGCGCAGCGCCGGGACCGGCCCCCCTCGGGCCGCCGGAGCTGCCGCCTCGTCGCCCGTGCTGCTGCTTCTGGGGGAGGAAGACGAGGACGAAGAAGGCGGGAGCAGGCGGCGGAGGGGACTCGGTAGGGTGGAGGAGAAGCCCCGAGGGGGCGCGGAGGAGGAGGATGACGAAGAGGAAGACGAGGACGAGGAGGTGGTCGTCGAGGTGGTGGACGGCGACGACGACGAGGAGGATGGCGAGGAGCGTTTCGTGCCCCTCGGACCGGGTCGTGCGGTCCCCAAGGGCCCGGCCCGGGGCGCGTTGAAGGTGCGTGCTGGGTGCGGTGGCGCTCGTGGGACTCGCCGGACCGGGGAGGGGGACTGGCCTGGGCTCCGAACCCCAGGGTGAGGCGCCTGACTGAGGCCAAGGACTAGAGACCGGCCGGGAGGGGTGTGTCAGGCGGCGCCGGCGGCAGCGCGGGGCAGAGCGAGGGAACTGTTGATTTGCTTGCGCCTCGGGGGCCCCCTGCACCTCTCCGAGGCCGCCTCTCGCGCTTTGCTTACAGGCCGGGTCGGGTTTCTTGTCTTGTGTGGGTGTGAGGAAAGGACACTTCTCCAGGGTAGGCAGGGGAACTTGGAGGTCGGACGAGGTGGGTGACGATTTGCGCCTGGTGAGGACGGGCGAGGTGGGTTGGTGGTGGTGGGATGTTTTATTCTTCCTAAGGATGCTAGACTGAACCCTTCTTATTTTGAGGACTATTCAAGCTTATTGCAACTATCGAGCAGCTTTTCTTGTCAATCTCGCAACCCCTTCCTTCACCCGAGAACAATTGTTGATGAGTTTCCATCGCAGGCACTTGTGAGGGAACCGGTAAGCCCAGTGCAGCAAAAAACAAGCCATTGGTTTCCACATGCGTTTTGCTAGCAGCTTTTGGCATTGCCCCTCGTCTCCCGTGTTTAAGCTCGACCTGGGTTAGCATTTTTCCCCCTCAAAATTGCAAAGGAGGAAAAAGGAAATCGAAAAGTGGGGAGGAGGGCAGTTGGAGGAGAGGGATTTGGCATTTAAAATGGATGTGAGTTTCAGCTGAGAATTCTAGCGAAGTCCCCCTGTGCACTGAAGCCCCAGGAGATCCTTCCGTTTGTGTATCTTCAGGAGATAAGGGGTTTATTATTACACAACTGACTGGCTGGGCTTTGAGGCATGCGATTGGACAAAGCCAACCACGTTGAGGTTCATGCACCCTGTATGTTGCTAAGAAGTTTTGAGGGCAGCAAGTGGTAAGCGATGAAGTGAGTGATTTTTCTCAAGAGTGGTTCTTAAAATCAGCTGAATAACTATTTCTTGGGAGTTTTCAAGAGGTATTTTCGGAGGAAAAAGACAAACAAGTGAACTTAATAGAAACTAATTTAAAAAAAAAATCTTTTGATTCTTGCCCCCCCCACCCCAAAATGAAAATCAGCTGCTGAAGCATGAAATTGTATTTCCAAAGAAATGTTAAACATTAGCAATTAGAATAGGCTGAGAATAGATGTGGGCACAAATTTCTTTCCCAGACCACCCTGGAAGTTTGATCTCTGAGAGTGAGAAATGTTCAGCAAATAGTCATTTGGGATGATAGTTTTTGACAGCTGCTTGTTGGAATCTGGACTGTGACCACACTCATTACCATGGTCTGCTGAAAAGCCTGTATTGTATGGCCACAGGATATAGCTGGATTTGAATTAAGTCACATGGTGTCAGTGACACTGAATAATAAGAGTAGTGACTCTGTAATATTTTTGTTCAGATATACTGAAAATGTGTCTTGGGGTTTGAATAGTGATTGCACAATTTATAATAGAAAAATTAACAATAACTTATGCTCTGTGATCAAAGCAAATTCAATGTAGGAAAAGAATCAACAGTATAAAAACAGAATATCTAGGGTGTGATAGTTGACATTATCAAAAAAGATTTTTTCACACCTCCAATTTTTAAAAATCCATTCAAATTTATAACATTGCTTGGCTCACAGCTTTTCAAAAACTTATATAATAAATGTGTTGAGATATAACTATCTTTTTTTCCTTTTAAAAACAATTGCTTTAAAGACATTGTGACACTCCATCTGTAGAAATTGGAATATCACAAAGAATTTTGTTATAATGCATATAAGAATGCAAACAGGTTCTGGGGCAGAAGCTCAGTGGCAGAGTGCTTACCTAGCATGTGTGAGGAGGCACTGGGTTCAATCCTCAGCACCACATTAAAAAAAAATGAACAAAATAAAAGTATGTTGTTTATCTACAACTATAAAATTTTTTTTTAAACCAGAATGAAAACATGTTGTATTCATGCATTCATTTGTTCAACACATATTTATTGAGCACCTATGTGTGCCAGGTGCCATTGTCAAACACAGTGGAGAATCTTCCTGATTCTCATGAGAGGTGTCATGACAACAATCAAAGATATAATTAAATAAGTGAGCATATGTATAAGCATGACATGTGAGGATTTTGATGAATGCTCTGAGGGAAATAATATCTTAGAGTTTGGGCTGGGCTGAAAAGAGAGCATGGGAACATCTCTCTTAGGAAGGGACATTTGATCTGAGATCTAGGATTTGCTTGGGGGGAAAAGGTCTTTCCAGGCACAGAGAATCGCAATTGCAAGTCTTGAAGTAGAAAGGAGGAAGACATGACTGTGGCAGGAACTTGGTAGGAAGGCAATATTTCACAGAAGCAGGTCTGGGTCAGCAATATAGAAAAGGTGGGCCTTTTTGAGGTGGAGTGTGAAGTCTCTGGAAAGTCTTTGGCAGTAAAAGCTTACCAGGTGATTTGCATGTCTCAGACCATGCTGTGTGAATAGAGAGCAGCAGTGGAAGCAGAGAGATCAGTTAGGTGGCAATGGCTGCTGCGGTCCACTGAGTCGTGAGGACTGCTTGGAATTAGAGGACGGCAAGAGTGGAGTTGAGATGAACTCTGCATCCATTGTGAAGAGCAGCCTGCCAGAACTTATTGATGGATTGGGTGATGAGGTAAAGGAAAGGAAGGTAATCCAGGATGAGGCCCTGATATAAAGAGTGGTTAGTTGTGCCGTTCACTGAGATTGGGAAAACTGGGAGAGCAAAAAGCAAACGTTTTGTTTTTGACATCTTAAGTGTGAGGTGATGATTCTTCCCTCTGAATGAAGATTGCAGTTAGGCCAGTGGCTGTAGGATGTAGAGCCAGGAAGAGGTCAGGGCTAGAAAGAGAGGTTTGGGAGCCATCAACATGTTGATGTCATTTAAAGCCCAATGCATAGGTAGTTCCACTGGGCAAGAGAAGAGAACCTTGAGCAGGTGCTGGGGCACAGGATGCTGTAAGTTTGGGTCTAGGAGAAGCCAGTGAAGATGGTTGACAGGCAGCATCCAAATAAAAAAAATATAAAGTCCACTATACCAAGAGAAGAAATAATTCCAAAAAGTGGTGTGTAATGAACCTGTTGAATATTGCAGGGATATTGAATAAGTAAAAGAGACCTTTTCTTATTCAATATGGCACTTAGGGTTATCCTTGATAGAGGAAGTTTATGATGTGACTAAAAGAGCTAGCAGCAAATGGGAGGTGAGGATGTAAGAGGATTTATGAAAAAAAATTTTGACAGGTTTTCTTGGAGAACAGAGAAGGAGGGAATAGGTAGAGGGCCTATGTCTAGGTTTGTTTTTATTGTTAAAATAAGATGCAATAGACTGTAGTGGCTAGAGCATGATGGAAATTATTTAGAAGGGTGTGAGTGTATTAGTTTTCTGTTACTGTGTAACAAATTACCATAAAGTTTTTGCCTTAAAGTAGTTCTCACAGTTTCAATGAAGTAGGATCCTGGTGTCAGCTTAACTGAGCTTGCCGCCATCGGTCTCACAAGACTGAATTTAAGGAGTTAACTGGATTGAGTTCTCATCTGGAGGTTTGACCAGGGAAGATTTCACTTTCAAACTTACTTGGGCTGTAGGCAGAGTTCATTCCCCTGCATCTGTAGAACTGAGGGTCCCAGCTTCTTGCTGGCTATTACCTGGAAGATGTCCTTAGATCCTGGAGCCTCTCAAACTCACCCTGTCTTTCCTGCAGCTATTTGTCCTGTGGGCTTCAGTAAGGAGAAGCTGGCAAGATGGAGTCTTCCATAATACAGTGTAATTGCAGATTCCATCATCTTTGGCATATTCTTTTGGTTAGAAGTGAGTTGCAGATTCCACTTACACTTAGGGGAGGGATCATACAAGGTCCTGAATATCCAAAGATGAGGGTCATGGGTGATTACCTTAGGGAGAAACCAGATATGCAAAGAGGAGAGGAGTAATTGCAGAAGGAAAGTTCTTGGGGAAAAATAGGAGAAGAATCTAGAACCCAAGTAGAGGATTGGCCTTTGGATTCTTCTTCCATTGAGATGGAGAGATGGTATAAAAGACGAATCCAGATGTGGGTATATTTTCTATATTAGGTGATATTGAGATGAAGTAGTACTTGGTGAGTAGCCTCTATTTTCCCCATGCAGGAGAAGAGAAAGGAACTAAGGGTGAGGGAGATTTGAAGTAAGAGTTGAAAGCATGAAATAGTACATGGCAGAGCAGGAGAGTAAATATACCAGGGAGACACACATAGAGTTGCCAGACAGTATCAAGGACCTATCCAAGGTTTGTGGTTCTGCATTTGTAGTGTAAGCAGTCTGTCTGGGTATGTGATTTTTCCCAACATTCTGTTGCCTCAAGCATAAATAATCACAAAAATAATCCCAGCTAATTTTTATTAAGTGCTTACCATGGCCGGTACAAGTTGACGTGTGTAAACTTGTTTAAACTTCATTACATCTCCATGGATATCTGTGACATAGCCAGCCGGTATTAAATGTTATCAGTCTTATTTTACAAAAGGCATAACTAACTTACTTGAAAATGCACAGCTGTTAGGTGGCAGAGCAGCAGTTTGCACCGTGGGCAGTCTAATTGTAGGGCTGGCACCCTTGTGCATTACACTGTGTTGCCTCCTGTAGAGAAAGCAGAGAGCTGGGTTCAGCAGGGGCAAGGTTTCACCAGGTGGGTGAACAGTGGAAAGGAGGAAATTGTCAAGGATATGAGTATGTTGATGGGATATGGGATCTAAGAATAGTGAGGACAGGAATGGGTGGGGCGAGAGATGGTGAAGACCTCCTGGATCAGTGAACTGGAGAAAACAAAGGGTAATCTGATAAAATCAATAAAACACAGGAGTGAAATACATGGCAATAGTTTCCAAAATACTATTAAAACAAGTATTTGCAGAACCTCATGAGACAGGAACTGTACTAAATATGTGAAGAAGGATCTTAGGAGA